GAGCAGATTTTACAAGCTTTATGTCCTGATAACTGTAGAAAATCAGATTTGACGTTCCATCACAGGTCTTGACGAATCCGCCAATTCTCGAGATGGACCTTTAGTGTTGTTCTTTTACTTTTGGCATCTCTGAATTTCGGTGACCCTTGATGATGTTGACTATAGTGTAGTTTTAGTACCGTGTGCTGCTTCGTTTGTTGGATTCGAGACATTGGTGGTGGCCTCAGTGACGGACTTAATGTCTGAATGCTCTCAGAGCGTTATCAGGCTCCACGGGCCAATTTTGGATTCAAAACTTGGGTGAAATTCACTTAGAGCTTCTAAAATGGCAATTTTTATGGACGTGTGCTATAAAAAGTTACTTTTAGTTAATAAGGGCCGAAATAATTGTGTAGGCTTATTTTATTACTAATAGAATTGTACCAAAATATTAATTAAAAACATACCAACTTTGTAATTTTAATGTTACAGTGAAATTTATTTAGTTTTACGGATTTCGTCGATACTGAAGCATTCCAGGTATATGATTTTTGTTACTTTGTTCGATATTCCGAGAGAAGGAAACCGGAAACTTTTCGCTCCAGATCAATGCTCACATTATGGGAAAGTTTTATGGAATTTTGCCAGGGAAAGGCAGTTTAACTGCCTTAAATGAACTCGTGGCGTAAACTTCCAGCACAAACAAGTTAATAAGACAGAGTACCTTCTCGTTTTACTAGTCCGCTGTACAGTTGGCATGGAAACTAATTTGTGGTGCAGGTATTTATAAAAGTTTATAAGGTCCTTATTTGGAGTTAATAACAGCTTTATGGCCTTAACTGTGTAAATTTAAATAAAATTGAAACTTTTAGTTAAACTACTTAGTAGGTAATGGGACATAAGTGTACAATCTTTCAAAAATTGTGCTTGGTGTAGTTGGAGACAAGGAGCAAAATCATGGAAAACTTAAGTAAATGTACCTCAGATCTACCGACTTTTATGTTTTATTCACTTTATTTTTAATAAATGTTTTATTGTGTACGAAGGTGTCCCATGAATGCTGAAATCTTTATTTAAAAAAAATTAAATACATAAAATTATAAACACTTTTTTAAGTAACATTTTGTGTAAAATCAAAAATGGGCTCTGTAATATCTTAAAACTGCAATAAAGAGTTTAAAATCACCGGTTTCGCAAATTTAAATTTTTAAAAAGTTACATAAGTTATACAGAGTGTTAAAAGTTTCGCTGCTTTAATTTTAACAGGCGATAAAATACATTAAAATAAACAAAATAATCTTATATGATATGGGTCCTAAACCCAATCATTTCCGAGAAAAAAATTATCAAATTATCCAACTTCATGTACAAAAGTTCGACTAATTAAGGAATATTGACATAAATGCGTGCATAGAATTCTTTTTTCAACTTCTTTATGCTTAATTCTAAAAAATAATTAGCGTTTTATTTATTTATTTAGTTATATATTTATTTTATTTTATTTATTTAAAAACTAGAAAACAATTGTCTTGAAATTTACTAAATGTTTCACAATAATAGTTGTTTATATTTTTTCCGTAGAAAAACACGTGGTGTGCATGATGAAACTCCTCAATATTAATACTCGCTGTATTTTAAAAACTGTTAATCATACGCCCCTGTAACATACAACTTTTTTGTTCATTTATAATTAGTATATCTCGTGCTGAAGTAATGGCAGTCAGACTTCTTACACCCTGTATTTATGTTACTATGTTCCACTAGTCTAGAAACTGCCAAACATATTTGAAAAAAATCTTAGTTTTGAGAAAGAAAATAGACTGTTTCTCGAAATACAGTCTAACTAAAATGATTTAAGTTACGTTCATTTTTGTATTTTTTATTTGTCTGCGTTTTTAGTGATTTTATTTAATTGTTTTCAATTCATTTTGAAATAAATTTAGAGAAAAACGTTTAATTTTTGCTGCCTTTCCTAATTTCCTTGCATAATTTTTTTTAAGAAAATCAATTAGTCTTCTTTGCTTGCTTTAAATTTTTGGAAATCATAGTTTTAACCCAGTTAGACAATAGTTATAAAATAAATAAAAATAAACCGATTCAACTTTTTAGAAAACCAAACACTAGTCTTTGGCAAGCTATTTATTTATTTATTTTTTAAATTGAATTACTAATGCAATATTTAAATATTTAAATACACCTCATAGGTAGGCTTTTATTGGAAATAGCTAAAAAGTCAAAAAAATGGAATCAAGTGAAACAGACGTATAAAAACCTACCTTATCTTCTAACTTTTTTCTTTCATTTTAGTTTTCTTATTAAGAAAAGTAATAACCTTATTAATTCAGTATTTAGATAACATTTATAAAAAAATTTACAAGGAAACAGTTATCGAAACATAATGACGATAAGCGTCATTGTCTAAAACTTAAATTAGTTTTCGATTAATCCGTGAAAAATAAATCCAAAGAAAACAGTTATCTTAGCTTTGTCTACATGCTCTCCAACCACATGCAAATTTTATGGTAATTGGTGGCAAACAGTGAGGGGGTTCCCGGATTTCTTTCAAGACCGCCGCGATGTCGTAACCCCAAAGCTGATGGAGATAACAACTGTCAGGAACAACCGCTAATTTGAAAAAATGAATTTACGCAAAAAACACTACCTAGAGATATAAAGTTTTATATACACAAATATATTATTCATTTTTAGGATTTACTTGAATAATTTCAAACATTACCAAAAAAATTTTGCAAAATATACTTGGATATCAAATATTTCTAGATTTGTTCGATATTTTATCACGTGACAAAATTTTTAAAACATTTATGCTTAAAATTAATGCTCTCACTCCCATAGGGATCAATTTAGAATATTTTTATGAAAATAGTTTTATTTAACCAAAAATATTACACTGAAAGAAGTAGACGTTTCGAAAATTAATCTATTTTAGCCTTCCGAGCTGCTGTTAAAAACAATTCACACAGTCTGATAACACTCCTTAAATCAGATTGTCTAAAACAACATTGATATTGATGTAACATTTACTGGTGACAATTATACAAGTTTTTAATAGACGTAAGCTTGAGTAAATGAAAGTGTGTTTGCTATTAACATACGTATATAACTTACACAAAGTCTAAATACAATTGCAAACTGACACCAATAAGTTTGCGTCTGAGAAAGCTCCGCCCACAACTGTGCGCTAGGCACGGCTACTGTCATAGTAATAATAGCCATAAGCCATATTTTCTTCTTAATATTAACAAATGAAAAAACATAACCATTACCTTCCCTAAAAGTTTAATACAAGGATAGCCAACTTAGTTTTTGAGTACTTTAAAAATTCAACAAACCTGATTTTGAAAAACAATCAAAAAGTTTTTTAGTTTATTCCAAGGACCCCATAAGAGTTTTTGTCCCTCACCTATCGGTAGTGGTGCAGTTGTGTTAATTAATTATAATATGTTGAATATTTGTCCATGGAACTTCAGATAAATGAAAATAATTACCGATTATAATGATTGTGTAATTTAAATTTAATAATTTTAATAATAAAAGCTTTTGTTATGTATTAATTGATTGTAAACATGTTGAATATTTAGTTGCCAAACTCACACAGGTATCTAAAAACGTGATTAAATATTAATTGTATCTGTTTATACGATTAAATTAAAACTAAATTAACCTTATTTGTTTATAATTTATCAACAAATAATTGGAGCATAATAAAATTTTCATAAATAATTAATTTGGGAAACATACTTTTTTTACAATTTATACAGGGTGAATCAGAACTTATCCAAAAAAAAATTGAAATGTACAGGGGGCTCACAAATACAATTTTGTAAAAACAAATAAAAAATGACAGTTTGAAAATTATTTAAAAATACACTTCTGCACGGCACTGGAAACTGGTCCAGTGTAATAAAAAAAAATGAATAAAAAATTCCAAGAATTTATTTTCCAAGAAAAGAAATAAATAAAATTTTATAACACCTATTTTATATCAGCAAATTCAATTGCTTTTGCCACTATTGTTACCATTAATTAACAAAATTAATTTTGTAGTTTTAATTAATGAAATAACACAAAAGCTTCACCCTAACACAAGTGTTGTTTTGCCTCGGCATAAATTAAAACGATATCCATCAACTCGGAGTAACTATACACGTCAGCCATTTTTGACACTTAAAAACTAATGTAAACACTATCACAAAAGCTAGAGACTGCAGTAAGTAGCCCAGCGATGTAAGGGTTAAAAATACTACATCAACCATTTTTTCTCGGTAACTATAAGGATTTAAAAAAAATTGCCCCTTACTGATTCTATTGGCGCAAGGTTAAAATAGAATAGTAAAATACCCAATAAATAAAAAATTACACATTTTAATGCAAACTATTATGTTTAACGAATATGTGACTAGCCTATGTTTGTAGAAGTCCTGAGGATGTCAACATAAATCGACGAAACGTCGACGATTATACAGAGTGTCCCAGGATAACGTGTACAACGGAAGACCACAGATTCGTGGACTCAAAATAGGCAGATTTAGGCTAATTCACCTATATCCAAAATCGCTTCGTTTGGCCGCTAGATGGCCTCAAAGTTCGTGAAAATTTGTTGAAAATTCTATAAGAGGCCCAAAAACTTCCAAATGGTATCATCTATCAAATAAAAAATAATCGTCATTATTTCCCGAAAAAGGAAAAAGTTATGAATGGGTATTATCACCATACATCAATTTTGTAGGAGTTTCAGTTTTAAAAAACACTCTGTATAACATCAAAGTGTGTACCTACCTAGGTTATATTTTGTATCAAACATAAATACAATATATAGAAATATTGTGAAGGTTATCATATTACCTTCTTTACATGGGGTGGATATTCAAATAGTTTTACATAGTTACATATCGTCCTTGATAAAATTGTGGTAGCGAAGGCACTTAATCGATTTAGACACCCGTATTAAAAAAAAATTGCCTAGGTCTTCGAATCTTGGGTGTACTAAAACTCCAAAATTACTGTTTATACCAGTTTAATGACAATGTAAAATAAATAAGTGTTACATAATAATATTGATGAATAATACTGCAAATTACTTTTACTTATTGTTAGAGTTAGAGTTAGAGTTAAAGTTAAAGCTTGACAGATCTTTGCTATAGTTCTCTCACATAAACGGTAGAGCCACAGAAAAGCCTGCTTTAAACGAAACACTTGAAGATGTTGATGAAGATTAAGAAACCGACCGTATCTTAACAAACCATTTGTAACCACATTGCAGCTTTTGCGGCCTACACTTATAAATATGTTCAAGATTCACGTCCAAATTATAAAATAAACACGAAAACGCTAAGAGGACATTGACAACTATGACGCGGTTTGGACAAAAGATGGCGATGGAGTTATCAACCCCACTTTGCTCTGTGTTATTAGCTGTTCCGTGACTTCAACTCGTATTGATATCTTCCTTTGTTTGATCTTGGGCACGATACCGTTTTTCAAATTCTGAAAAAAAGAAGCAAATTGTTAATAGTAGCATTAAAGTATAATAAACGAGAGGATATCCGTGAACAAATGAATGGTTTCAGCTAACAAGCAACCTAGAACTAAACTTTTTTAAAATTTACTCTTAACTGATTGAGGGAAAGGTAGCTTGATTATACCAGGTCATAAAGTATGGTCTAAAGAGGTCTGCAATGAATTGTACTTCAAGAATTTATTTCAATTTACCTAAATATGGAGAGGTGTTTTGGATTGACATTGAAACTTATATCCTCTATATTTTTAACTGACAATGAAAGAGTGTTAGGTAAGCACTAATTAGTATTATTTTCCTCTGTTTCCATTGATTGTTAGAGTCAACCCAACCTTTGTATGAAATTCATGGGTATCATACCATATTTCGTCCAAGTTTGTTCTCACTTATATACTGACTAATTTTTGTCAAATATCCTTGCTTTTTACAAATTTTTGTAATGTGTTGATGACACTTCCACAGTTTCCATGTCATTTGTTTTAAGTCTTCTGAGTAAATCATCCAGTATATATATGTTTATAAATTACTAACTAGATTAAATATTCATCACAACATGTTTCCTTGTTTTTCTTTCAATAATTAGGCTTTTCCATAAGGTCTCATTGGAATTTCTCTTTAACATCTAAAAATAAGTCTTCTTCGAGTTTAATTTCCAAACTGTTAAGATTTATTTTTATTTTGAACTACGATTTCCACTTTGGATTCCATGTTGGTGCCAAATTTTTGTGTTGGTAATTTATGTGAAGAGTTTTCTTTAATAAAAATGTATGTTATTTTGTATTTCTTTCAAATGGGTTGTAGATTGTTGTTCTCTTAGAACTAGTTGGTTTGGTTGAATTTAATTTCATTTTGTTTTTTTCTGATTCAATATATGAGGAGTTGATTTTCAAAACGCAGTTTTTGAAACATAACACATTTTGAGATAATTACGTAATAATCATATGTGAAAAATTGTTGGTGCTATAAAGATAATAATAATTAAGTGTATTAATCACCTGACATTAGAAAATATTTTTTGTGGTATTTTGTGTAAAACTTCTTTGAATACGAAACAAATGCGATTTGAAAATCAAAATCGAAAACTGCGTTTTGAAAATCAACTCCTCATATATATTTTTATTTGATTGTGCTTTAACCAGCAGAATTTATCGCTATCAATTTTTATTTTAATCTGAAATTTGACCTATAATTTATGAAAAAACAATACGATCTTGGTAAATTTATATCTATTTTATAACAAAGAAAAATTTGAAAATAAATTATCCACAGTTTCTTCTTGTTGTTGTGTCTCTTCGGTTTCTTTAAGCCACCTGGATTTTCCTTTTAATTAAGTAAAACTGCGCCTTCCTGCAGATTATCTCCTTTCCCGGAATTTGCTATGGCAGCCGCTTTTAATTATTTGATTAGTTAATGTTTGCCGAGTTTCTGTTCTATTTTACTTTAAAAGCGATACTTTCTTTTTTTACTACTATTTTTATATATCTTAAACTGCACTTTTGTTTACAGATAAGACTTTGTTTTTCACGACTTTTAATTTTATTTTGTTCGATTGATTCTATTTTCATGAAACTGCAATGTGTATTCAATATTGAATTGTTTTTAAGTTACAGATCAATGTTTCTAGCTGGATATAGACTAATTGTCAGATAAGTCGATATCTGACGCTTCTTAAATAGTTTTTTATTGTAAATAACAAAAAAGTTCTTAAGCTTCCTTCCAATACCACTCTTGTCTTACCTGGGTTCCCCTGTTGATACTAAACATTCGTACGATAATTTATCTTATATACTTTCCTTACAACTACTTTTATACCATTCTTACAACAATTTTTCCACATTCTTCTTTTTATTCTAAAATTTCGTGTTTGCTTCTTGTTTTTCTGTTATTTTTTAGATTAACTTCAAAATACCAGTTAAATATTTACTGAGATTATCCACTTATGTGACAATTTAATCTTGTAGAAGTTATTATTGTTATATTGTTAGAAATTTTAGAAAATTCTTATAATGAGAGTTCAGTGATATGATTTTTATTCAAATCCCTTATTAAAATTAAATTTTACCTGGTATTTGTGCTTGAATAGTGTTTGTGTTATTTCTCGTTTCTAGATAAACATCTCCAATCAATATACTTTTTTATACAAAGTAACTAACTTTCTATGTTATAAGCGACATCTGCTTAACCGTTTATTTTAAATATTATATGAAATAGCATTTGTTAGCACTTTATTTTGTAATTATGTGTGTCATTTTAAGTTATATGTGTGTAGTCTTTTAGGCTATTGATTATATAAAAAAAACAGGGTTAAAGGGAACTATGACATTTAAGCAGTTTTGTTGCATGAATCGTTCAAAGAGTCATTTTAGATGAAAAAACCACGGAGTGCTATTAAACCGAAAATTGGAAATATGAGTGAAAATACACCCCTTTCAGTTTTTTAATTGTAGCTCGAAAACGAAGCAAAATTTCGTTATAGTTCATAGGAAAATTTTTTTAGAGAATTGAATTTCCCATCGAAATGGCTTATCTAAAAAATTTAAACGGGAAATTTTATCCCCTCTAATTTAATAACACTCCGCGGTTTTTTCATCTATAATGACCATGTAATAAAATATCTTGAACGTTATACCCAATTCCTTTTAAAATCCTATAATCAATAGGCTATTTATTAGTTAACACTTTCTGTTTAATTTTTTTTTAATTTAGTTTCTGCCTCCTTAACTTAATTCTTTCCATTTTCTGTACTGTACTGTATATATATTTTTTAATCAACTTAAGAAACTATTTTCCTATTATTTTAACTACTGTTATTGCATTTTCCAGTACAATACCTAACTGGTGATTTTAATTCCGGTAAATATGTGACACTCAACTTTTTATTGTACAAATTTGATGTGGTTAAACAAAACTGTGTGTCATAAAAAACTGTCATATCCGCGTCAATATGCTAAGAAAAGTACAAATCCATGTTATACTTACTTGGATTATGGTGCCAGGTTCCGAAATTACGTAATATATCGCATACAGAGGAATCCACATCATCGAAGAAAAGCTAATACACAACCCAATAATTTCCGCCCAGTAGGGATACTCGTAATCCCCGTAGGTCAGCCTTTCATACTGCAGGCACTGGCCGATGAAAATTAACTGCAAAAACGGAAAACGCCTTTAATTAGAATCACAACTTGAATTTTATTTGTGTGTAGAGACAACGGGGAGTCGTAAATCATATTATTCCAAGGGTAGGGGAGGATTAATACGTGAAACGTGTTCCAAGTTATGCATTTCATAATTAAAATTCATGATTCCGTAAAGATTATTTAATTAAGAGTTCAAATTTGCAGCGAGTTAAACACGGGTTCTATATCCCTTCACGAAAGAGGTCGTATAAATATATGCATAGTAGATGAATATTTCGTCCAAACGAATTCGAGGTTCTCTAAACTAATCAGTAAAAGAAATAGTTGCCTCAATAACAAAATGACATTAGTTCTTTTTTCATGAAAACTTGTTAGAAATGTTAGAACATTATACAATAGTCGGAAAACAATGTTTATAAAAACCTTATTGAGATTTTTCAAACTGAAAGAACTATTACACAGCCCCACAAAAAAAAAGTATCGGATCTGGTATTCAGACCCGTGTATGTCCATGTATTTTTTCCGCTGAATCCGAATGTGCCTTCAGATTTGGTCCAACGGGTCTGAGTTCCAATTTCATTCAAAAACAAGAAATAGATCAAAATGATTAAAAACGCCATTTTCGTGGCATAACTCGTGTTGCAGAGTTCTGGATCCATCTTTTTATCTACCCACCCATTTATGAATTCATACATCTTTCTATCCAGTCCATGCATGAATACGCATATAACAGCCTAGAAGATTGAGAATAAAACTTGTAGAATACTCTACTTTCTAAACAAAAGAAAACGATATCTACAAATCATTCTTATTTTTGTTGCTATAATGTGTTCTCTTTTCTTCAAAGGATCTATGCAAAGGCTTACGCTTTCGTTTGGTCCTTCTATTTTTCATTTCTCTTTTTAACAACCAACAAAAATCGGCCATCATGTTTTCATCCCATCTTCCTTGATATCGCTGTTCTATAACCTTCATATCCTGATGAAATCGTTCGCCTTGTTCTTCGCCAAGATCCAAGATTTTCAGGAAACCAATCCAGATGCGAATGAAAGAAGTGCAACTTGTAGTTCATCAAACATCCCAGATCTTAGAAGTATTTTATCATTTTCGATACAATTTCTTCGTATTTAGGACTCTTGTTGTTTCCTAAAAAAAATTTCCGAATACTCATGAGGCGGAATTGAATGAAGGTGTATTCGATGGACCCCAGATTAAGACATTGTTCAAGGATGCAACATTCATCACTACAATGAGTAGCATTGAGAAGAGTGCTTGGACTAGTTTCAAATCTCTAGCGACACATTTTTTAGGAAACAAGAAGAACCCTAAATACGAAGAAATTGTATCAAAAATGATAATGAAATGAAATGGACCAGCTTGTCTGACTCTATGATGATAAATTCGAATTAAACGAGTGAAAAATCATACGTCTAGTGAGCTGGTAGAATAATTTGATTTTTTATAACTTTCGTCTATCGTAAATGACGTTTCTTGTGAATTTTGACCTGTTTTTTTAATTTTCCCGAAACCTCAGACCCGTTGGGCCAAATCTGAATGCAGATTCGGATTCAGCGGAAAAAATATATGGAAATACATGAGTCTGAATACCAGATCCGATATTTTTTTTTTGTGGGGCTGTGTTATTAATTGATTCACAAAAGTGTTCACATTATGTATAATTCTGATAAAGCACCTTTAAGTACATATTGTAAGTGACTGTTTTGATGTCGATTGCGTACCATTAAAAGGGGTTATTATAAAGGGCATTATTAAATAATAGAGTACCCTGAGGGTTATGAAAGAATAACTAATTGTGTTTTACTATTGGGTGCCTATCACAAAACTGTTCCCAATTATTCTTTGTTGAGGGAAATAAACTTACTTAGCTGATGGCAACCCTAACGATATCGTGATATCGCCAACGTCATAAAGGAAAATCAGATAATTTTATCGACGAAATTACCTTTACCTATAATACATCAAAAGTATATAAGTTAATATGTAGATAGTGAATATAATCCATTTATTGCTTTTTCCAAAACAAATATTGTAATATGTACCTAATAGTCTTTGAGTTTGAGTAAAAAAATAGCCATGAAGCAAAACAAAAACGAAAAAATTAAATTAATTAAACTCCAGTAATGTGGTATTATAATAATTATTAATATTCTTAGTTTTATTAAATTTAAAAATAAAATAATATAACTGAAACCAACAGATGTTAAATAATTATATTCTTGTCACTTATATCCACCATTTACTTCTATGCACTTCGCAATTCTTTTACGTGCGTTCGTACTTTTTGTATTTGGTGTGGGGTAATTTCTGCACAGGCTTGCATTATGCCAGAACGTAGTTCTTGTACAGCTTATGGCCTTGATTTATACACTTTTTATTTCAATAAACCCAAAATAAAAAAATCTAATGGCGTCAAGTCCGGAGATCTCGACGGCCACTCAGTTAAAGGACTATTTCGTCCTATCCAACAATTCTCAAAATGTTCGTTTAACCATTCTCTCACCTCAGCAGCGTTATGAATAGAGTTACCATCTAATTGAAACTTCAAATTAAGGAGATTTCTTAAAGGCAAATCATCTAATGCGTTCCCAAATTCATTATTAAAAAAAATTTAAAATCTATTCAAAAAAGAAAGGCCCAATTATTATGTTATTTAGTATTCCTCACCAAACGTTAACTATTTGCAAATACTGCCTCATTGCGTTTATAATAAATTTTGGATTCTCAGCTCTCCTTGTAGCCAATAAAAAACTCCCAACGTCTTTCTTTATCTCCCAATTCCAAAGTATGAACAAATTTTGGTTTAAAAGCTTTTATTTTATTTCTTGCCGAACGCACATTAGCGCCAACATGTTGTACAAATATTTTGTCTTTTAATGGTATATTTTCCATTGTTATTAACACGAGATAAACTGTACTACACACTAATTTGTTACTTTTGACAATTAGCTAACTACCTCACTTTTTGTTTTGCTTCATTGACAACCGGATATCAACAATAAATTAATGAAAAAAAATTAACGACTTGTGAATTTTTGATTTGGTTACAAAATCGTTATTATCTAAAATTTTGATAAAATTTGGTATTTGCTCGTTTTGGGGGTTCCTAAATCCAGTGGCATAAATATATGTTTTCTCAAAAAATCCCTAATATGAAATGTTGGGATTTTACTCTTAAAAACGGGTCCTTACTACCTAATTTAGGTAGTTGTCTTTAATATAACACGTATTTTCCTCACCAACTTCATTGGCGCAATCAAGGAAAGATATTAACAAATAACGATGACTAAATATTGCGCGGTGCTTTTCAGACATTAATAAAAACCCACATCTGGAGATAATTTATCGTTTTTACTAATTCCAATTAATCACCTAGATTTTATACACGTAATAAATAAATTTACGGTATCTGTTCCAGAAAAACTATAAATTTTACGGGAACAAGGGGCATTATGAATCCTTTAATGCCTTATGATTAATTGGGTTATGCCAGTAAAATACAGGAATAGCACTCGGCACTCTAATAAATTAAAGTGCATTATAAACAGGTAGCCTCAGAATATTTCTTTTCATCGGAAACTTCGACGAATACGAGATAAATTACCTATAGTATGCAAAAATATGGTAATAATATTCCATTCGTAACCATAACATCTGTCAGTATGAACGATATCCAATTAATACAATATTTAACGTCATTGTCAATTTAAATTTTTTTTGTAGCTGTTAAAATCGTTCGTTTACGACTAGGTACCTTAATTATTAAGAAATTGTCCACAAACACTTTTATACGATTCCATTTTTAAAATGTGAAATAATAACACGTTTTGGCACTTGCACGCATATGACACGAACGGAAACGTCTAAGCTGGAAACTGACGCACGCAGAAATGAGACCACGTAGCGCTGGTCGCCTTTTTTTCTGTACACGATAAGCAAAGATAGACCGATCAAAATAACTCATTTAGAGGAAAAAAAAAAGAAAAGTGTTTCCTGGACTTTTATAACTGGAGATGGTAAAGGGGCTTATGATAAACGAAAAAAATAGATAAATGCGTGAGCAGGGGCGGCGGAGGATTGATTTGGGGGGTTGAAAAGTTATGAAAAATTGTATCATTGGGATTTCTGACGAAAGTTAACGTCAAACAAAAAAGTATCTAATACAAAAGTTGTAGATCATGCAAAAATCTACAACTTTTGTACAAATAATTTTTTAACATAACCTCAAAATTTCCGAGAAAAATGCAAAATACAGGTTTTTTTCTGATTTTTCATTTTTTATTTCTCATTTCCGCAAAAATAATTTAATTTTGACGAAACTTGGTGAAAGTATACCTTTCTCTGTCTTAAATAACTTCAAATTTTTTTAGATTAAAAAAAATCAAGAAATTTCTGAGATAGGTATTCATTTTTTTCAGCCTGAAACACTTTTTTCTTCAAAGAAAAATTCTACTTAAAAAAATCATCGTACAGAGTTCTGCCGGTAATCATTTTTTTCGTTTTGACATATTATTTGGTGAAATAAAAAAATTTGTACCTAATCATAGTTCAAAAACATACTCAACAATACAAGAAAGTAAAAAATGGCTTGCAGCAATGAATTTTTCAGTAATTGTTGATAATTTGTTTAAATTAAAAAAAAATCAAAAACTGATTACACCATTCAATTGTACGGAAAAAATACAAAAAAAAAACTGTCTCATTGTTTGACCCAAAACTATTTTTGTACAGTATTGCTATAAACATAAGTCGAATAGTGAATAAATAAAATAAATAATATTTTTTTTCCGTTTAGTGTACTTTTTTTAAAGTTTGAAGAATTCATAGATACACAGTGTGTTTTTTATATCTAACAATATGCTGTTTAGAAAGTTTTAAAATTCCGGGTAGTTCCGGAGATATCCGGAAAAACCGGAAATTTTGCAATATTGTTTAATTTTTTCTGGCTTTATTTTAAAATAAATTACAAATTCACAATGCCACTTTTTTGCGACGTTTCGTCTTCGAGAGGCCATCATCGGTTTAATTTTTTAAAATACGTCTCTGATATTTTTATGACAAAATCTAAAATCATTTTTAATTCTGAATTAGAGGATATTACTATAGTAATCGTTTAAGAAGTTTTTAGCTTGTTTTAGCTATAATTTAAAATTTTTCCCGAGTACGGCTCTGAACGCTTTCAAAATATGTATTGGATGAAGTCATAACAGTATAAAAGTAATACCGCACAAAATATCCAACGATTTTTTTACTACTACTAGCAATACTAATTAGAAATAATAAAATATTTCATAAATTCGTATTATTTTTTTATTAGGTACAACTTTTTAAATTATGGATTAAAAAAAATTGTTGGATATATTGTGCTGTATTGACTTTTATTCTCTCCTCTCTCTCTCTCTCTCTATCTCTTTCTCTCTCTCTCTCCTCCAATAGATACAGGTATTTTGAAAGCGTTCAGAGCCGTACTTAGGAAAAAATTTTAATGATAGCTAAAAATCTTTTTACGCGATTACAATAGTAATATCATCTAATACATCTATCTATCTAATTGACTAGATTTTGTCATTAAAATAGCAGCGATATATTTAAAAAAATTAATCTGATGATGGCCCCTCGAAGACGAAACGTCGGATTGCAAAAATGTTGACGCCATTGGATACAGCGAAAAAGTGGCAATGTAAATATGCAATTTATTTAAAATTCGTTTTCAAATAAAGCCAGAAAAAAAATAAAACGATTTTGCAAAATTTCGGGTTTTAGGATTTCGCATCAACAATAGACTTTGTAGTTAATACTTTGTATTGCTGAAATCTCAAATCATCCAGAGATAATTTATCATTTGTGCATTTGTAATTCGACTTAGATGTTTATAGCAATACTGTACAAAAATAAAGTTTTGAGTCGAACAATGAGACAGTTTTATTTAATTTTTTTTCCGTAGAATTGAATGGTGTAATCAGTTTTTGAATACTTTTTAATTTAAACAAATTATCAATAATAACTGAATAATTCATTGTTTATTTTTTTGCATATTTGAACATGTTTTTGAACTGTTATTACAGATTTTTTTATTTCACCAAAAAGTATATGTCAAAACGAAAAAAATTATTACTGGCAGAACTCTGTACGATGATTTTTTTAAGTAGAATTTTTCTTTGAAAAAAAAGTGTTTCAGGCCGAAAAAAAATAATATCTCAGAAACTTCTTGATTTTTTTATCTAAACAAATTTTGAGGTTATTAGAAAGGTATACTTTCACCAAGTTTCGTCAAAATTAAATTATTTTTGCGGAAATGAGAAATAAAAAACAAAAAATCATAAAAAACCTGTTTTTCGCATTTTTCTCGGAAATTTTGAGGTTATGTTAAAAAGTGACCTCTACAAAACTTTTGTATTGAATATTTTTTTGTTTGACGTCAACTTTCACCAGAAATCCCAATAATACAATTTTTCATAACTTTTCAACCCCCCAAATCAACCCTCCGCCGCCGCTGCTCACGCATTTATTTATTTTTTTCGTTTATTATAAGTCCTTCTACCATTTCCACTTATAAAAGTCAGGGTAATAATTTTTTTTTTCGTCAAGTGTAATTTGGTTGGACTAAGATAAAAATATGCAGAATGAACGACAGATTAGAATTTCCATGCAGATAATACGCACAATTATTTTATGAGAATGGGAAATAGTAAAACTTATAATTTGATTTATTTATAACTCTACTGTCTCTATAGAAAGAGATCGCAATAATTTTACATACAAAAATGTTAGAAACGGAAATCTGTACTTCTGTACTCACCCCCATCGTCAATGGCGCCAAGTACTTCCAGCATATCGTCCAGAATCGGTTAGGCCTAATCCCCATCATTTGTTCGATGCAGTCGCACAATTTTTCAACGCCAAACAACCAAGAAATTGCCACGGTTTGGAAGAAACACACCCATAAAAGTGATATACCACTGGCGGAGTAGTAATCCATCAGCTGGAAGATGTACATCCCGCCCTGCATAAAAAATAAACCACATAGAAACAGGCACTGCATCAACCGAGATTTTTTTTCAAGTTACATGTGAGATTTAACAAAAAAGGTCGTTGCCGCGCTGTGGGCTAAGTAATTTTTTTACGCGGCCTTGTCGGATTTGTTGTTTATTTTCTGTAAAGGGAATTTAATTGGATATTAAGGCGCAGAGGTTTAGAAAAGCAATTTAAAAATCTGAAAAAATATATTAAAATGGAAATGAATATATGGGGCTGAGTTTTACCAATACTTTCTCTTTAGACAAATAAAATTTGTACGTTTTTAGCTTTTAATACCTAAAACATTGAAATATTCTGGCTTTTCAGGCGAGGTTTTTACAAAAACAAATTTAATTGAATTAATATGCAGATGTATCTATGCAAATGCAAATTGGAATTGAGCGCAGCAAAATTTTCATGATTTAATTTCAGCAACTTCTGTCAATATATGTCTATGCACATTATTGTTTTTAATATGATTTGTTTAAGTTTTTGTCACAAAATGCGCGTGAAATATACAAACGATATACAATTTCGACTATTTGGAAACCAACAATTTTACTAAAGCATTTGTTTATTTTATGTTTTAAGTAAATAATTATAGTTCAAAGTATGTAATACTTTAATAGGATAGTCCAAGATTTTGACGAAAGTAGACATCGGAACATTTATAGACAATATTTATTCAAGAAAGTAATTGGATTCATACTCTATAAAAACATATTGGTTCCTCTAATTAGGATTATTTTTTTTTTAAGTTAATAATAGGCTTTTACTAAATATAACAATATCAGATACAGAAGATTAGACGGCGCTAGAGTATATGATATAATATGTTATTTTTTAAGTTATCTATATAAAGTAGTAGAGTAAATTATTTAATACGACACTTATGGGCAGATATATTTTCACACACATTTGCATTAATCGAAAAGCTCTGCACAAGGTATTTCAAATTGACGCCTCGGTGAACAAAGCATAAAAATTAAAAATTTTACTTATAGTTTCCAATGAAACTAAATTCCTATTACGCTGAGTTGTCATAACTATTTTCTCTTGAACATACCTGAATCTTTGGGTTTTACATCATACTCAAATGAACCAATCAGCGTTAATGGGTGGACCTTACCAAATTCATTTACTAAAATTAGCAAATAATATGCTGCCATATATTAGTGAATATTCCAAGCCCATCAGCTTTCTAAATTCGCTTCCCATCAAGAGAAAACCGGCTCCCCAAAGAAGGGCATTAGAGCATTAGATTAACTCGTCTTAGTATATACAGTGTGTCTTTTCATATTTTCCATAGATAGTACACATTATTATCTTATTTTTTATGTAAAACTAATGTAAGTTTTGAACAAAGTACAGCTGTATTAATTAGAAATAGAAACCAATAATTGCATTTCTGTCTGACTTGAGGATTAATGTGGCAACGTCGCAATCAGCTGACAGCAAGGAGGGAATACATTTGAAAGACTTGATAAAAACGAAATTGATTTCAAACATATACATTTTTCCTAAATCCCATGTACATTGTTATCAACAATAAATTATCCACAACAGATTATTTTTTGTAATGTTTTTAAAAAACTAAATTAATTAAAAA